CCAAATACACAAAATAATGTTCTTTTTAGCAACATCATATGACCCCTTTAACACCACGGGTCATCAATAAGGGGCAGATTTGGTCCTCAGTTTGTGTTTCCAACACACTTTTTCACAGCGCTCATCACCCGCTCAAACTCATCAAAAGACAACAAGTACAACAAACAACGACTTATCCAAGTGACCGCTGCAGAACGCACGCGAGAGAGAGACGAGGCAGCGCAGATCGCGCGTCTCATAAGTGAGTGGGGAATTTACCGAACATGGCACTTGCGTGAGTTAACACTGAACGCAATACCCGCAACCTCACACCAATTTTCAGGCCGTGTAGATAGGCAAGCATATATACAAATAATTTAGTAAGCAGAAATCCGAAATTTACCTTAACATATTAAGTTAGAGGAAGATACAGAAGACAGAATTGATGCTTGAAGAATGCGCTTCCAGCAGCCATGATAAACAGTTGGCGGTTAAAGTTTTCTATGCACAATTTGATTTGACGAAAGTCACGAGACCTATTACTCTCTATCCAATCACGTTGATGGATACAAATAAAATTTAAATAAGCATGTAACGACCACAAACGGAGGAAAATAGCGGAGTAAAAGTACCGATACATCACTTAAAATGTACTCAAGTAAAAGTAAAAGTACACCATTTTTAAACTACTCAAAAAAGTACAATTACTGATAAAAACTACTTAATTACTGTAACGTGAGTATTTTTAATTCGTTACTTCACACCCCTGGTATTACTGTCAAGTGATTCACATACAGATCTGCACATATTCTTGTTGTTAGTTTCGGAGACCATTTAAAAGTTAGTCTCTTACAGTTTTTACATATTATAGCTTTTTTCCACCTCATGAGCTGCTAGTATTTTATTAACCTCATTTCAATACTCCCACTCACTGTGTCCCTTTCAGTAACACATGAATTCATCATCAGCGCTTCTCTGTCACTATGTCTCAGACTAAGGTGGAGGATTGTGGTGAGATGTCTCGCGCTGCTGTACAAACTCCACCTGCTCAGACGCCCCTTCCCCACACACAGCTGATGCTAACGGGTGGTCAGCTCGCAGGGGTGAGACAAACACTCCAATACATGCGTACATACACTCTTTATAGATGCTGCATACTGTATGTGTGTCTGTGTGGGTTACTACATGAGCTTGCTTGCCTTAGATGTGCTTTCTTTTCTAACTCTTATTTTCGAACACACTCCTTCTCTGCCGCTCTTTCTCTCTCTAGTTGACTGCACTTTTGCCAGCACAGCAACAGCTGCTCTTACAGCAGGCGCAGCTCCTCGCTGCAGCTGTGCAGCAGTCGCATGTGGCCCACGCGGCCAATCAACAGCAAGCCCAGCAGCAGGCAGCTCAGCCGCAGTCACAGGGCCAATCGCAGAGCACACAGGAACAAAACGCCGCCCCTGTCCTACCGCCTCCTCCTCACCAGCTTCCTCTTTCTCAGCCAATCCAGCTCACTGCGCAGGTACAGCCAGTCAGCGCTGGGCAGCACACCTGAAAATTGTTGATATTGTTCCAGAATCAGTGTTTTTCCTCTTTCAGTCCTTCATCAGAGTGAAACCGTCACATCCTTTCAGCATCTGTTTCTTTTCTCTCTTTCAGGACATTCAGCAGTTGTTGCAGCTGCAGCAGTTAGTCCTCGTTCCTGGACACACTCTGCCTTCACCCGCACAGTTTCTTTTACCACAAACACAGCAAGGGCAGCAAGGTAGCTTATTTACTATTAGTATTCTCACACCGTGTCCTAAATAAGTTTCCAACATCAGATCACTAGTTTTCCAATCAGTCAATCAGAATTAAAAATGTTGTTTAATATGAATTAAACAATTAAACATAGAGATTTGCTGTATGTCAGTTAAAGGGGTCATATGATGCTGCTAAAAAGAACATTATTTTGTGTATTTGGTGTAATGAAATGTGTTTATGCGGTTTAAAGTTAAAAAAACACATTATTTTCCACATACTGTACATTATTGTTTCTCCTCTATGCCCCGCCTTTTTGAAACGCGTCGATTTTTACACAGATCTTCTTTATGCACCAAGAGCTTGTAACACTCTAAAGAGAAAGGAAAAAATGAAATCGCATCATATGACCCCTTTAAGAACATTTCTAATTTACACCTGTAAGAATTTATGGTAACACTTTATTTTAAGGTGTCCTTGTTACACGTTACATGTACTTAGTATTATAATAACAATAAATTATGCATACTTACATGCAAGTAACCCTAAGCCAAACCTTAATCCTAGCCCTATAGTAAGTACATGTAGTTAATTAATATCAGTACTCAAATGTATAATTACATTGTAATAGGGACACCTTAAAATAAAGTGTAACCCAATTTATTGCTTATTATCACTTTATTACATTGTAATTTTTCAAGATGTAATGATTAGTTAAAAATGGTCTGATTTGATTTAATTGTAACGGTTGTGTATGTTTCAGGGCTGCTATCAACGCCAAATCTAATATCACTACCTCAGCAAAACCAAGGAAGCCTGCTGGCCGCTCCACACAGACTTAGTCTTCAAGCACAGGTACAACATCTGATAAAAGGCTACATATTTGGGAGTCTACTGTTCCCCAACAGGGGTAAACATATGCCAGAGGTTACTTAAACAGTATCCAAGGGGAACTTGGAAATATATTTCTTTGTTAAATGTAGAAAAAAAACATACAACATAAGTGATTAATTAAATGTGTGAAATTTTCAGTTCCCTTTTTGAAAAAGGGAAACACAGTATTGTTTATGAACTTTGTAATTTTGTTTATATGACAGCTGTAGTAAGACTGGGGTGAATAAGATGTTTTAACAGTAAAGACTGATAGATTGTTACAACAGATTTTCGTTTTAAATAAATGCTGTTCTTTTGAGCTTTCTAGTCTTCAAAGAATGCTGAAAAAAGCATTACTTAAGCATAAGTAATAATAAATATGAACTGTTTTCAACATTGATTATAATAAGAAATGTTTCTTGAGCACCAAATCAACATATTAGAATGATTTCTGAATGATCATATGACATTGATGACTGGAGTAAAGGCTACTGAAAATTCAGCAGTTTCGTCATCACAGGAATAATTATGTTTTACAATGTATTAAGATAGAAAACAGTTTCAAATTGTAATAGTATTTCACAATATTACTGTTTTTGTTGTATTTTAATCATATAATTGCAACCTCAGTGAGCACAGAATTTCTTTAAAAACAAAAAACGTTTGCACAGTAGTGTGTGTACATTCTGTGCTATCATATTTCCATCTGACACTCACGTTCGAGTCTTGTATGTGTGTGTCTGGTTTGTGGCAGAGGGAGAAGGTTGCAGAGAGCAGCGTGAACACAGTGACTCCGGTGACCACTCATCCCGAAGAGCCCAGTGATCTGGAGGAACTGGAGCAATTTGCCCGCACATTCAAACAGAGAAGGATCAAACTGGGCTTCACACAGGTACACACACATAAACACACACACACACACACACACACACACCCAGAACATTTGTATTTGCCTGTATAGTAATGTTTGGTCTCTGTTTCTCTCTACAGGGTGATGTGGGATTGGCCATGGGGAAGCTCTATGGGAACGATTTCAGTCAGACCACCATCTCTCGATTTGAGGCGCTCAATCTCAGCTTCAAGAACATGTGCAAACTTAAACCTCTGTTGGAGAAGTGGCTGACTGACGCAGGTAACCGTCACAAACAGCTGCATTAGACATTACAGCTGTCAATCAAACCTAGTGCTTAAAGGGACAGTCCACCCAATTCTGAACATTTTAATTTTGTTCCAAACCTGTATGACTTTTTCTTCACAAAAGACATTTAGAAGAATGTTGGCAACCAAACAGTTTCAATTCCTATTGACTTAAGTTGCATTTTTTGTTCATACAATGGAAGCCAACATTCTTCAACATTCATGTTCCACAGAAGAAAGAATGTCATACAGGTTTGGGACAATATGAGGGTGAATAAATGATAATTTTTTGGGTGAACTATCCCTTTAACTTCCAATCAATCTCAAAACCATGTTCATGTACATACATTAAAACTACAGTTTAAGTGGCATTTAGGCCACATCATTATTAAAGGGGTCATATGATGCGATTTCAATTGCAACGCGTAAAAAGACCGTATAAGTCATTATAATCAGTAATTATGTCCCCACTGGATTCAACAAATGCCTGTTTGTAATGGGTTTTAATGTTTATGTCTCGTCGCTCCGGCCCGAACACAGCATCAACAGTATGTGAGGGGCGTAACATTACCGTCTCACGCTTGAGGTATTCGGCCAATCACAACGCATTGGATAGCTGACCAATCACAGCACACCTCGCTTTTTCAGACCGATGAGCTTTGTAAAAATCGACGCGTTTCAAAAAGGCGGGGCATAGAGGAGAAACAATAATGTACAGTATGTGGAAAATAATGTGTTTTTTTTTTACTTTAAACCGCATAAACACATTTCATTACACCAAATACACAAAATAATGTTCTTTTTAGCAGCATCATATGACCCCTTTAAAAAAAATGTGATATGGCAGTATATAAAACATTTTGTGCTTGATATAATAAGCATCAAATGTTTTTAATGGTTTACTTAGAAACAATGACGATGGACAGCATCTTGCCAAGTCCCAGTGCTCTTTCCTCTCCCTTGCTGGGGTTTGAGGGCCTGCCTGGCCGCCGTAGGAAGAAACGCACCAGCATTGAGACCAACATCCGCGTCGCTCTGGAACGCAGCTTCATCACGGTCAGAACACATGATTACAAATCCATTGCACAACATACATTACCGGTTAAAAGTTTGGGGTTGGATTTTATTTGTTTCCAAAAGAAGGCTGTTATGCTCACCAAGGATGCATTGGTTCGTTATAAATGCAGTATAAACAGTAATATTATTAAGTGTTATTACAATATAAAACAATACATTTTCATTTTAATATTTTCTAAAATGTAATTTATTCATGTGATAGTAAAGATGAACTTTTATTGGCCATTGCTCCAGTGATCAGTGTCACATGATTCTTCAGAAATCAATATGTTGATTTGGTGCTTAAGAAACATTTCTTATCACAGTTTAAATAGTTGTGCTGCTTAATATTTTTGTAGAAACTGTGAAGCATTTTTTCAGGATTCTTTGATTGATAGAAAGTTAAAAATAACAGCATTTATTTGAAATACAAATCTTTTGTTACTGTCACTTTTTGACCCTTTTTTCAGTTTAATGCATCCTTGCTGAATAAAGTATTCATTTCTGTTAAGTTCTGACCCCAAACTTTGAAGTGGTAGTAGATAACTAAACGCTTCCGAAATGAATGTCCTTAAATAATCCTAAACCACAGTTCTGTTTTCTGCATTCAGAACCAGAAGCCTGCCTCAGAGGAGATCCTGCTCATCGCCGAAAAGCTCAACATGGAGAAGGAGGTGATCCGCGTCTGGTTCTGCAACCGCCGACAGAAAGAGAAACGTATTAACCCCTCCAGTGCCACCCCTCCCTTGCCCAGCCAACCCCAGCCCACCTTGCACAAACCCCTCTGCTACAGCCCGCACATGGTACGACCCGGCTTGCTCCCTTGGCCCATACCCCCGTCTCCAACCACCCTGTGCCACAACACTACTAGTTTCTCCTGCATGAGCAGATGATAATAATCATTCCCATAATGGTGCATATATCATTCACTCCTGAATGTGGTTTCACCCACCCTGCATTGCTTTGCATTTTAATGTGTAATAATTCATATCTTCATAGCCAATTTTTACAACTAGTTCACTGTCATTGACTACGTTTACATGGACATCAGTTATCTAATTATTTACCTTATTCTAAATAAGCCAATATTATGATTATGGTGTTTACATGAGTTGCTTTTAGAATATTCCTTTCATGTTCCTGTTTTACATGTTATAGTACATAGATCGATTAATGGCACACGTCATTACATCCCCACGTGACGACATCCAACGTCCCCTTCGGAATTTCACGCATAAACATATAGTTCGTCTTCGTGATGATGCCATGTACAGTTTTGGGTGTTTCATTTTTAATTTTATTAAGGTGTTTACATGTCTATACTGCACTTCAGTAATGCAACTAAAATAGGAATACTCCACATGTCTTAATTTGATTTCTGTTTACTTCGGACTTTAGCCGGATTAAGGTAATCAAAAATCTCTGTTTACATGGTAGATTCTTAAGCAGAGTATTGTCTTAATCGTATTAAAATATGAGTATTGTTGTCCATGTAAACGTACTCATTGTCATAATACTATAGGGCATTCAGCCTCTGTTTCTAATTCTTTAGAAGGAATATTGCATGTTTTCACTTTCAAACTCAGTATTTTGGTCTATAATTTTGTAGTTGAGTAACTTAAATTCACAAACAGAGCACAAGCCTTCCACCAGCCTCTCTCCTTTCTCAACCTCCATTACTCTCTGTCCATCATGTTTCCCCTTTGACCTGTGACATCATATCCACGTCTTCCTTACAGATGCCCAGTCAGGGACCATCGCAGACAGTGAGCAGTCTCGGTACAGCAGGTAGGGCACAGAAGTGGACATCTGCTGATCAGAGATACATATAATTATATAATATAATATATTATTTCCCTCTGTCAGTGACCACTATGTCATCAGTTTGCCCTTTGACCCCAAGCGGACCCTCCTTAAGCTCTGCACCATCTCCTGTAACCCCGCCTCCCCGCAGTGATGCCAGCCCCGCCCCTCCGACTCACAGTACACTAAGTCTGAACACAGGGTGAGTTGATTTCTCTCTCACACACACACACATCCACTCAGCACATACTCATCACCTTTTACTCCCTGTGGCTCAGCAAATGTAGGTAACTGCAGTGTTTGTGTGTGTGTGCAAATGTATTTTTGTGTGTGTGGTTTTGTCATCCACAGTTCATGGCATAAAAAGAATGGTGACGTTTCTAACTACATCAATGACTTTGCTGCACATTTGAGGTGAATACAACCAGTAGAGTCTGTGTTCTTACACACACATATACACACACACACACACAAATATAAAATACACACACTTTCACATAAACATATTTGTTATTGTCAAGTATAGGAAAATGTGAATTAGGGCATAAGGTGAATTCTGGTAAATTGACCTTGATATTGAGACAATTGTGTATGACAATGTAATATGTATATGCACATACATAATGTGTATGCGCAGTTGTATTATTATCAATTAAATAAATTATTAATTATAATTAGTGTTATAGAACTTATTATAATTAATTTATTATAATTTATAAAATATTATTTGCACATATTAATTATAAATTATATATTTGTTTTGATACTACAAAAATATATTTTTAAAAATTTTTTTTTGTAATTTTAGTTAGTTTTTTATTTATTTACATTTCTTATTTTTTAAGTGTTTTTTTTTTCTTTTTTACGATTTTGCATATTTGTTCAAAAGATTTGGTCAAATCGCACTACATCTTAGCATAAGGATTGTTACGTACTGATGCGTCACTGAGGTCTGCTGGTGTGTGGCCTGCATTGTATTATAAGAAAAAACGTATTTACTCTGCAAAGACCTGTTTTCTTGCACTGTTTTTCAAGCTCTTAACTAGGGGTGTAAATCGGATGGTTCGTCATGATACGATATCGATTCTCATATCCAGCGATACGATATTTGCTGATACTTCAAAACATTCTACGATATGATTCAATGTGATCCCTACACAGTGTTCATTGCTCCCTACTCTCTGAGCAGGGGAATCCATTTAAGTTTACTTCACTTCAGAACATGGGCTGGAATTGGAACCACTGATGTAGCCTATTTTGCCAAAACTGATTTACTGAAGTCAAAACACGGACGGAATTGGCGTTAGCGCGAGCGCTGCTTGCTGCGAGGTGGGAGCGACCAGCCGTCAGAGGGTTCCTCAGCCTTTATGTTCACGATTTCTGATTTACTTGTATCAGTCAGTGGTTAGATCAGCGTAGCAGTCAAAAAATGGGACAAGGGAGGTCACGTACGGGACAAATCAATTAGGCCCAAAATAAGGGACGTCCCGGCTAATATGGGACGGTTGGCAACCCTAGTTACACCCCTACTCTTAACTATGCTTCTAAATGTTTTCTCTTTTTCCCGTCCTCTTCCCTGTATTTCTGTTTTCCGTTTCTGTCTGTGTGTTTTGTGGGTTGGTTATTTGTTTGTGTGACTCAGGAATACGATGAGGGGAGTTAACACAGGAATGAACCAAGCTCTTCTTGTCAGCAACCCGCTTGCTACTATCCAAGGTTTGTGTGAAAGAGAGGGCGAGAGAGACACTAATGACTCTGCCACCTCATATCAGTCATGTGTTACTGTGTCCTCTCTGTTTGAGTGTTTGTTTATGTCCTTCTACTCCTTTTCACCCTTTTTCACATCTGCTCATCAGTTCACATGCTAGTACATCCTGTTTAATGCGTTACATGTCAGTTTCGTTGATGTTTGTGAGTAATACTGTGTTTCTTTCACAGCTCTAGCAGCCAGTGGTGGCCAGCTGCCCATTTCCAGTCTTGAGGGCAGCAGCAAGGTGTTAATTGGTGGTTCTGGAGGCCAAGGAGCAGGTCTCCCCTCTTCCCTCTTTCTCAACCACTCCTCTTTGTTGCCCATGGCAACAGGCACCGGCATGGGATTGGGCAGTTCAGCTCTTGCCAGAACCTCATTTCCTGTCACAGGCGGCATGAGTCCCTCCCCTTGCTCGAGCCCCGTCTCTTCCTGCTCTTCCGGCGATTTGCTACACAGCCCACACTCGATTGGAGGGGCTAAAATCGAGTGACGTTGCCCAAGGCCAATCACAGGAGGAGGAGAAGGAGGAGATGAAACCTTACCTGTCAACCAAAGCATCTCTTGATCCCCTCACTCCCTTTCGTTTCCTCTTGTTCACAGTCTCTCTCTTCCGCTGTCCCGCTCTACTGATGCCAAAAATATACAGAGTAAAAGAGGGGAGAGATGGAGAGATGGAGTGGAAGCAGGAAGGAAGAGGAGAGGAGGGAAAACGAAACCAAAAAAAAACCATGCGGCTTAGCTGGACGCAGCCAAATACATAAATAAAACGAGAATAATAAACTATGTAGTGCAGTAAGAAGAGGACAAAAAGAGATCCTTGAGCACCAAAAACAACAAAGAGAACAAACTTTACTGTGTGTTAAAGAACGCTTTGAAGCATACATGTGGAGTACTGAATACCAAAAAGTATAATGGAACTTTGAGAGTCTCACTATGACAAAAAAATACAAGCATACCAAAATCTCAAATACCAAAAACAAACACCAAAAATACGGATGGAAAAGCTTTATCCAAAGGACCTGTAAATAGCCAACCGTCCAGGACCAGATCCAGTGACAACAATCCAGCCATCTCTGAGCTCATCAACTTATCTGCCATGCAATCACATCATGTTTTTTATGATTTAATTTTAAATATGAACGAGCCGGACTCCCAACGCTGTTGTGTTTCTCTGGTTCTTCCTCATTCTTGTCTGTTTTTTTTCTCAGAAGTAGCAGATTTTTCCATCTGTCTTTAATGAATGTTTCAGTACATATGATCATCATCATCATCATTCCACGTCTTATCGAGCATATAGAGAGGATTGGGTGTTTGGTCTTTGATGTTCATCATATTAGCACTGCATAGCTTGATGCACTTGTTTGTCCGATGACATGAATGTCATATAGTGTAATAAAAGTGAGACCAAGCTCCTCTCTAGCTTTCACACCTCTAGTTAAGTGTAAATACTCTCATTTCTCTCTTAATAATTAAGTGCTTGTATCCTTCCTCATTCCATTTCATGCCTACCTCACTCACTTTCTCCCTTTTGAATACCAAAGCGATCCATTCATACATGATCAGTTCATCGTTCACATGATGCAGAAAGAGATCAGGGGCCCAGACCTTGACGAGGCCACTCTGGTAAGACAGCATGGCAACATGGGAAACTGTCACGGCGAAGGGGCTCCCATCCTTTCTGCTTCTTCTACAAGCCAAAAAATGGAGCAAAACTTCACAGCCAGCCAAACTTCCCATAAAGGAAAACCAAAAACAAACCAAGCCAAAAATGGATGGAGGAGCAAAGTGAGTCGTTGTACAGAAAAAGAGTATCCCTTCATGCATCTCTGGACCGAGGTCACCCAGAACCATGTAGCAAGGGATCCGCCTCTGCCTCCTGTCATTCAAACTCTTCCTGGTCCTGGGTGGCGGGATCATTGATGACCTCACTGGACTCATCTGAAGAAGATGTTTCGAGTTCATTTGGGGGTTGGGAGGGTTGTTACTTTTGGTCTTTCGTTCCGTCTGTCTGTTTTGTGGGACTTTTCTTGGCTGTATGTGTAGATTTGTGTGCTTTCGTTTGGGGAAAATGTATTCACGTATTAGCGGAAATCTAATTTTTTACGTTCCTTACTTGTTCCTATCTAGTTGTGTTAGAGACTCTAATCAGGTGGTTGAAACAATACTGTGAAAATTCAGTTCAACAGATAAGAAACCAGGATAAACACGCTCAAGTACATCCAAAGAACCAAAGTCGAGTAATAAACAAGCTTTAAAGAGAACCAAATATCACATACACAACAATTGACATGCTCTCATCCACCTTACCGTTGTATTTATATCGTGCTGAAATCTGTAGTCGGTGAGTGCTGCAGGTTCAACGAGGGATGGATACATGAACTCAGTTCTCTACGTTACCGTATAGTCTCCGAATGGGTCAGTTAGTGCTTCTATAGATTTTGTAGTAAATTATCTGTTATAATGCTTACTAATTGCTAATGTATGGAAGAAAACGTTGTGAAAAGATAAAAAAAATGTTGATATTTACTTAGACCAAAAATTCACACTATCTCTCTTTTGGGTTTTTGGGTTTTCTTCCTCCCCCATTTTAAAATTTAGATTTTTTAATTTATTTATTCTCCTCTTGCTCGTTTGTGAATTTCTTAACAAAACTTTTTTTATTATTATTATGATTAATATTATTATTTATTTAATATATTCCAGATGCTGTTTTGTAGTGGGTGTGTTTGAGGCACCAGATTGTATTCAAATGTAAACTTCCTTTGCCAAGGCGACCTTTCGAACCAAATCCATCGACAAATGCAACCGTCGGTCCTAACGTGCCGGCCGTTAATCGACAGCGTAGGGGCGGACACTTGTCTTCTCGACCTCTTAGCTGTTCCTCTATCAGGGGAAAAAGCAGCACTGTGTTTCTTCTGCTCAAATGTTTCGGTAGCATTCATTCAACGCTGAAGTAACCTTCCAGAGTAAAAGCACACACTGCCATGGCTTAGAAGGGATAAGGTCCTATAGGAAAGTGCATTGTATTCGTACGTACCTGTCTCGCCACTGCTGATGTTAGGGATGGTGTTGCTATGGTTACTGTCGCGAAGGCTACCGCTTGTGACGGCGTCGAGCGCAGTGCTGCCGTGAGCCTTGACCTGAAAGCTTTAAACAGCTACAAAACCAAAAACTAGGAGAGGAAAGATGGAGGGATTTGGGGTTCCTGGATAGAAAATACAGCGGAATGTATGTATTGAATGATAGCGGAAATGTATCAGTGCTCCATCTTCCTCTCTTTTTGCTCTCTGCCTCACTCCTCCTCTTTGTCCTGTTTCTATTCCTGCTTTGTTTTGTATTTTGTAGCTTGTCTGTTGTTTTGTCTCCTGGTTAGGGGGTGTATAAGAGAGATAGTTCCTCATATACCTCACTCTCTTAACGACAAACCAAATATTTGAATGCTTTAAAACAGAAAAGTAGGGGCCGAGGAGAAGTGTTTTGATAGGCCAGGGAACATTATGAAGATGAAAACACTCAAAGAACTTCACTGATGCTCTGGCACGTTCACTCCCTCAACCCTTGGGACCACTTTTACAGTCACCAAACACAGGGCAGGACACATACACACACATTTTCATATATGTACACACTTCTTGTGCATGTGTATGTATATAAGTCATAAAGGTGACTGAAGAGCGGGCGGCGACTGTTGTTGCTAGGTGACAAATTTTATGTCTTAAAACGCAAGAGATGTTGAAGAGGAATATAAGGGGAACCCTTTCAATCTTGTGTTATATTTTCTCTAACTTTCCTTCTTGCCGTTACAGTCAGGCGCAGTTCCGGACGTCTTAAAAACTTCTCGGTGTTGATATGCAAGTAATAGCTGCAGCGTAAGGGGGCGTGTTCAAAGTGTGAGTCTCTCAGTGGAGTGAATCTCCAGAGAATGATACCAAAGCAACACGCCATTCTGAGACTGAACACAACACACACGCTCCCTAAAATCCTGTACACAATCATTGAGTTTGATTCGCAGCGTTTTTCAGTTTAACAATCGGATATGGGTGAAAATCCCCGAGTAAAGAAACAAAGTCATAGCATTTGAAAACGCCTCAGAGAACTGCAAATATGAGTCGTTTTGTTCGCATTTTACTCTACTTGTTGTTTTACCTGCTCTCTATATATTATAACATTAAAAAAGAAAAAAACAGCTTTAGTCCAAAGGTGTTTAAAAAGATTTTTAAAAATAGCAAAGAACTTAAACACGTCTAGTTAAACCAAAGAGCTCCACTAACACATCCTCAGCTGTTTTCTTTTGTCTCTTTTCCTGGTCACCTAGCAACCCAGTTTCTGAAGGTATAACCTCAACTATCCAAAGTAACATACGATGAAGATGATGAAATGTATATTTTTAATTATTCATTATTTGGGGGGGAAATCTTCATGGTGATGATGATGATGATGATCTTAAAGAAAAGACTTGGTATGTCTGTGATGAATGTTTGTTTACGTTTTTTGGGGTTAGCGGTGTTATTCTGTCCCCTGCATCTTCTCCCTGATTTCATGTCCGCTGCTCACTCCGTGCGTAAAGGAGCGCGTGGGTGCGTCATTGTCTGTGCGTACATATGATCATGTGCGCGTGAACGTATTTTACACTCTAATATCGGACAGATATGCGGTTATTTTGGCATATGTGCGTGAATGTGTGCGTCTGTTTTGCTTGTTGATGTACGTTGTCATGTTTTTACCCTTTCCATCGTTCCTTTTTTCTCACTTGAGTTGAGCAGTTCCTTTTTCGTCTCTTCTGTCCTCTGTGTCTCTCTTTTTCTCCCTATGGTGACAGGTTAGCCTTTTGGTGTAATTATCTCTGAAACCAAAAGATAGTTGACAAATAACTCGCTTGTTCATTGTACAGTGTTGTTCATTTAAAGTCATTTTTGTAGCTGAAAGTGTTTCACTCATCTGAATAAAAATGGTAGAGAAAAAGAACAGTGCATGAAAATGTTGTCTTTTACTTGTGAGTTTATTTAATCGCTGTGTGATCCAGTGTGTAATGCTGTCAGTCCGCGTTTGGCCGCTGGGTGGCAGCAGCAGCTACATGCTGTTCTCCTTCATATGGATGAATCATCCGCAAGAGCTTCTGCCTCCACATGGTGCCTCAACTTAGTCACCTTCTCTTCCCCTTGCTTCCTTCACTCTCTCTAGATCTATCTGTTTCTCTCTTTTCTCCCTCTTTTTCCACTTTTCACAGCTCTCATTTGCTCATCTGACTCATATAGGACATCTGGTCTTTGCCAGACAGCTTGTCCTTTACTCATGTTCTACTCCTCTCCAATTAGACGATTAAAAATCTCACCTTTTTAAGATTGTTATGTCTTTACATCTGCTACTGAAAAAAATGTACAAGTAATGTACAAGTAGCCTATATGACAGATGTAAAAATGATTATTTTAATGAGTTCATAATGTCAGAGTATTTAAAGCAACTGTATGAAGTGTTGTGTCTTTTGAGACTGATCTCTACAAGTAGGCTAAGTGAGTGGAATTCTTTGTCGTAAATACATCTCTGTCATAATTAAAGTGGATACCAGGGGCAAGTTCAAGCTCAAACCGGTGTGAACCGTTTTGCTACGGTTTCCGTGTTGAACGACATGTTTCCTGGAAACGGTGTGCAACGGGGTTTGAGATGCGTTTTCTCTTGTTTGGTGGGTGTGTCAAACATGTCAGCCCAATCAGCCAATCAGCAGCAACATGTATGTAAACCATGCGGTATTAAAGAGAA